CTTATAATTTACGCCGTGTCGACATGGTGTAGCTATGTCAATATGTGATGGTGATGTTGTTGTTGCTGGAATTATTGATAGTGTAATTCCTCTACAATCTTTTCGACTTTGATTAACTTCATTTGACTCCACGACGATGTGTTCTTTGAGTATACAATGCATTGAATCACATAAATGTGAGGCTAAAACAGACACAAATAAATAAAAGATAAATTACAGAAAATTTTTTTATTTTACCTTGCATTGATCCTCGTCCTGTCGACAATACTGGAAGATCTTCTTCCTTTGATCGAAGAGCCACGTGGTACTTCATAAAAGCGATGTTACATGTCTCAAATTTTTTGCATGTTTTATTAATTTGGCGTTGGAAGTCAGTGTAGGTTGTGGTGTTGCGAGAGATAGATAAAGGTTGACGATATGGTGATAAGATATCTGTTTCACTACCAAAGCAGGATAACCATTCAGCAAAGTACGGACCTATAAAGACAAAATTATTATTATGATAATAATAATAATAAAATAAATTTACCGTCATGTGGTTTGGTACCAGTCATAATTTCAATTTGTTGTTTTGATAATCTTGGCTTAATGTGTTCAGAAATAATAAATTTAATATGATTATCCTTTTCGACGATAATATCATATAATCTAATAGCATCGTTGGTACTAATAATATGAAGAAAGTGTTGGCCAGCGCAACGTTTTTCTCTTGTTTCTGCCATCGTAATGGTCTTCTTAATTCACAAATTTTGGTCTAAAACAAAACAAAAAAATAATGAATTTTTATATTTTTTTTTGAGCTTACGTTTATGACAGAATATGTAAAATGTAATTTTTTTGTACAGCTTTATTGACCAGTTTCTCTCAAGCTATAGTTTGACTTCATCAGAATCTAGAAGAAAAAAAATAGAAAAAAACTTAAAACTTACATAAATGATTATGGTAAAGATGTATTTAGTGTTAACTGATGCTTTATGCTGAAATTAACCGTGTATTTATAGTATAGAAAGATGTAAACATATACCCTCGTTTGAAATAGTAATCTGTTAGATATCATGTATTATATTGTTATGTAATTTCTTTTCCATTCTGTTTCTTTTATTAGCCTCGATGAATACTTTGTCATATAGATGTATAATACCTCTTTCTAATATATCTTTTATCTGGATATCTTCTCCCTTCCCCAACTTTTTTATTTTCTTTAATAAAATTTGTTGGCCGATATGGCTTATTAATTATTTCTTTCACTTTATTATTTTCGCATCGTGCCTACTTCTTAGCAATAATTGAATTCAAATTTTACTAATTGTTTTACAAATCACCAAAAAACATGACAAAAATATAATCCCTCCATCGGACTCGAACCACACATCTCCTGCTATCCTAGCAGTCGTCTCAGCCCGCTGGACTACAACAGATATCTAATCTTAGTTTTAGTATAGTAATGTATCATCAATGACGCTTTTGTCTCTATAAAATATTTTCTCAGCATGGAGAAATAATTTAAAAAAACATTCAAGTAATTTCATCTCACAGCATTCTATTAAAAGAACAGTGATAAAATTAAAGGAACATAACCAATAAATCTGATTATTTTTTTAAAATTCTATGTAAAGGAAATTTCTCATACCATATCAGAATGTTTTGATGCTAGTAATATAATTACAAAGAAACAAGAGAGAATGTGGGTATGGGTATTATATATTGATATTGTTAAATCTGAGGTTAGTTCTTTTTAATAAAAAAAAGCGTTTTTTACGAAAAAAATTAATTTTTTATAAAGTTTGTCTGAATGTAAACAGGTTAAAAAATGTCTTGCTCAAAGTTATAAAACAGAATATATACTACGGGCATAGATTCCAAATAATAGTGACGCTTTGCTCTCCGCTGTTCACCACTACTAAATCCGGTTTCGCATCGTTGTCGATATCAGCTGCTACGATATTGGATGGACCGGAACCAGCCATATACGTGATTTGATTCTGAAAAGTTTCATCTTCATCATTAAGCATCACGGTGATAGTATTGTCACGTGCGTTGACGACCGCTAAATCCAGCTTACCATCATTGTTGAAATCGGCGACTGCTATACCGTAGGGATGAGAACCGACTGTATGCGTAATTTGGTTTTGAAAAGTTCCGTTTCCATTACCATGCAGTATGCTTATGGTGTTGTCATCAGAGTTGCTCACTATTAGATCTAGTTTGCTATCATTATTGAGATCAGCTGATACAATAATAAGTGGCAGGGCGCCGACTGTATACGTAGTTTGATTTCCAAAAGATCCATCCCCCTTTCCGAGCAAAACGCTTATGGTGCCATCAAAAAAGTTGCCCACTACCAGGTCCGGTTTCCTATCATTGTTGAGATCGGCTACTGTGGAACCATATGCATGAGAACCAAGTATATACTTAATTTGATTTTTAAAAGTCCCGTTGCCGTTTCCAAAAAGCATGCTTATGGCGTTTTCTTCATCGTTAGTCACTACTAGATCTAGTTTACTATCATTATTGAAATCGGCGGTTCGGACTGATAATGGACTAGTGCCAGCTGCATACGTAATTTCATGTTCGAAAGTTCCATTTCCATTCCCGAGAAATATGCCTATGTTGTTGTCACCGCCATTGGCCACTACTAGATCCAATTTACTATCATTGTTGAAATCATTGACTATGATTGATGTTGGACGGGTGCCAGTCGAATATGTTGTTTCTTTTTGAAACGTCCGATGTCCATCGGCAAGTAATACGCTGATGGCGTTACTCTGCGCATCTGTCACTGCTAGATCCAATTTAGTGTTATTGTTAAAATCACCTACGACTAGATAGAGTGGGAAAGAGCCAACTGCATAGTTAATTTGATTCCAAAGCGTATCATGTCCATTGGCAAATATCAAGTTGATAACGCTGCCATCTTTGCTGGCCACAGCTAAATCGAGTCTGTTGTCATTATTGAAATCGGCAGTCGTGATTGAAAAAGGCCTGAACCCAAGATGATACGTAATTTGATTTTGAAAAGTACCATTCCCATTAGCAAGAAATATGCTTATGCTTGTACTATCATAGTTGGTCACTATTAGATCTAGCTTACTATCATTATTGAAATCTCCAACTATAATAAATGTTGGACTGGCACCAGTGGAATATGTTGTATGATTTCGGAACGTCCCGTCTCCGTTACCAAGTAGCACGCTTATAGTGTTGTCCTCTTGGTCGATCACTGCTAAATCCAGCTTACTATCATTGTTGAAATCAGCTACTTCGAACGATGTTGGACGAGAGCCAACTATATACGTAACTGGAGCCTGGAAAGTTCCATTCCCATTTCCGAGCATTACGGTGATTCTACCATTATCATAGTTGTCCATTGCTAGGTCTAGTTTACCATCATTATTAAAATCGCCAACGGCAACAAACATCGTACGGGAATCAATTTTATAAGTAGTCTCATTCGAAAAAGTTCCATCTCCGTTACCAAACAGCACGAGTATGGTGTTTTCAAAAGAATGGGTCACTACCAGATCTAGCTTATTATCATTATTGAGATCACCTAGAGCAATAGACTCTGGAAAACGTCCAACTGTATGAGTCATTTGATCTTGAAATTTTCCGTCTCCGTTATTAAGCAGTACGCTGATGCTATTGTCCTTAGAATTGAGCACTACTAGATCCAATTTCCTATCATTGTTGAGATCACCTACTGTAGCATCGGATGGATCCGATCCAACTGTATACGTCATTTGATTTTGAAAACTTCCATCTTCGTTGCTAAGAAGTACATTGATACTGGTCTGATCAGCGTTGATCACTATTAGATCCGGTTTGCCATTATTGTCGAAATCCCACGCTGCCACAAATTCTGGACTACCGTCAGTGTATAAAATGTTACTTGGACCAAACGGTGATTGACAGATAACTTCTAAAGATAGATAGATATCGAGAAAAATATAAAAAGAGAGTGTGGCTGTAGGTATATGACAGTGAATACAAGAGGAACAAAATACTCCACACTCATACACATTTCATGAAAAACAACTACACATACCTCATTTAAGATTAGTATTTAAGGAGCGTTACTCTAACACTTACCTGGCTTCTGGGTTGTCGTTGATGTTGTCTGTGGTAGTGTCGATGTGGTTGTTGTTAGTGTACTTATTACCGTTGGTAATGAGGGTGATATAGTGGTGTTTTCTGCCTTTGTTGGAACAAGAATAACAAATTTTAATAGTAGAAAGAGGATAACTGCAAAAATCGCTACAATGATCAACGAGATGAAGATAATTTTAACTCGACGATGATGCCACCATTTGTGTCTTTCAATAGTCTCAGTTGTATACTCACTAAAGCTCGCATTTATATGCATATTATGTTTTACAAAAAATTTAAACTCGAAACAGAATTATCTTTTGTTCGATACTATTTAATATTCGTCTGTCATTCACAGAGAAGTTACGAAAGATAAAATACTATTTTACCTTCAACGCTATAGCTGCTTCTATACTCTTATCTATCTATAATAAATTTTACATGTAAGAGTGATAACGCAAAATTATGCTTTGCTTCTAAATTTTCTCACGTCATATACCTTTATCTTAATGTTATTTTTGTATTAAATATAGGTTGTGTGTGATAGAGTAGATGCCAGTATGAGTGTAGTAAAAACAGAGTTTCGATGTGGATGTGGGTAGATGAGAAATCGACAGATTAATCTCACTACAATTAACACCCACATCTTGAGGGTGCGGGTGTAGGCATGAGTATTTTTATTGATATTGTATCCACATCTACACCCACATCCACGTTTACACCCACAATCACACCCCACCCTCAAAATGGTAGTACTGTCGGTCTTAATATATACTGCTTTCGTGACAAAGCAAACGTTTTGATCAATGTCGATATTACTTGTATTGGTGACTCGTTGTTATGGTTATAAGTAGTTTAGTTCTGAAGAAATAAATGGTGCTACAAACCAAAAAGTGATTAATAGGAAATATTAGTTACATGTGCCTATGTACGATTAAATGACTAAATATTTAATGTATGTGATTGATTTGGCAAACATCCATCATATGCACTTAAATAAAACCGACTAAAATAGGGTTGCAATCAAAACAGTCAAATCGTATATTCGTGAAGTACAAGTGATTACAAACACGTGACGTTATATCTTTTATTTAAATATCAGTGCATTTATATAAAATCAATTCAAAAACAATGTGCGTAATTGAATGATCACGTTATATCATATTCATATTAATTTCTGGTAGAAATTCACATGTAACACAAAATATAATAGAAGAGTGAATTGAATCAACCTTTGTGAATGAAAGTTTGAATTCTTAGAAATTTCAAAACTTTGAAGGTTTTTCGAATCGTGTTTTCACAAATTACTGATGCACGTTATTATCTTAGTAATAAAACATTTGTATAAGAAAACAGACAGAAACAGCTGAACAAGGATATAATGCGAAGAGCAGATGAATAAAAATGAAAGAGAAGATATATATCATATGATGAAGTACATATATATATATATAAAGAACAGAAAGGAAAGAGATGAGAACAACATATGTAAAGTAATTGATCGAGGACATCACATAAGATTTCTCTTTGTGTTGCAATATATGTCACTTGTTGTAACATGCGTTGCAAAAGAAATGGAAATAAATGTCGAGCTTCACCGTTCAGCCATTTTACGAGCTACAAAGCTTTTTCTTTTTTTATTAGAAAGAGCATGAAAAACACTACAAAAAACTACATTTAACAAACTGAATATAATCCGTCCCACCACATAGCCCGAAGCTTTCTTCGAACACCTTCAACCATAGCTTGCAACATTTTTTTATCAAGTTCTTTTGCCTTTAGTTCGATCCTTCGAGCCAATGTATCCAAATCTTTTGCTTCCCAATTATTTGCATACACCTTTCGTTCGAGTAGAGCCCAAACAGTTTCAATTGAACGAGCTTGTGGGACGTTTGGAGGATTATCCGGACGAGGAACGAATGGTACGTTTTTCTCGTTCAAACGTTCCTTCACAACATTTGAGTAATGAGCACTTGCTAAATCGGGCCAGAAAATATAATTTCCATCCTGATGATAGTTTTCGATAAAAGGAATTAGTCTTTTGTTAATACACTCTTCTAAATATGTGGTTTGACGAACAGCTTGCTTACTCTTGTGGATGTACACACCAGAAACCCCTTTCGAGGACATAGCCATCCAAATCATCAATTTTGGTTCAAATTTTTTTTTCTTTTGAAATTTAATGTTTGAAGGAGTTGTGGCAGAATCCGTCGAATAGTAATAACCATTGCCACCAACATCATTACCACTTAATTTAAAGTATTTTTCATCATCTAAAATTACATCACAACCACTTAACAATTTGCGATACATTTTTCCACAATTTTTTCTTGCTCTGTTTTCTTGGTCTTCGTTGTCCATTTTCGGAGCTTTTCGACGTTTTCTGATAACGATTGATGTTCTTCTTTTTAAGGTACGTGAAATAGTTGAATAATGTACCTTAAACCGTCGTCCTAATTTTCGTTGACTAACACCACATCGATTATTTACAGATTTAACGAGCCTATTCAATTGCTTGTCTGAAATCTTGCACGGTCGACCACTTTTTGGTAGATATTTCGTGGTTCCATGTTGACGATACTTCCGTAATATATTATAAATCGTTGTTTGCGGAATATTTTGTTTTTTGAAATAGTTTACCGTAGTTTTTACGGAATTATTTGAAGAGTCAGTATAGAAGTTGCAAACACGTTGTGATAGAGCTTCTCTTTCGTCTCGTGTCATTTTGTTAATGAAACAACAGTAACGGCGAGTTATATATCATTCGAAAGAGAAAAGAACGAGCTATCAACGGACCACCAAACTTTCGTTCTATCACATTTCCGTTCCCTCGAAATATACCTCGACATTTATTTCCATTTCTTTTGCAACGCATGTTATTATCTTTATTCACATAATATGATATACTACGATCTCTAGAAGTATTCAGTAGATGATATATGTCGATTGTTTTTGCTGCTATTTAAAACGGTTCATTTTTATTCTAACTATGTATAGTAGAAATATTAACTTTTAACGTCAGAATCAAATAGGTGTCAATCAAGTACTGAAATAGCTAAGTAAACATCATACAACTAGTTGTACTAAATTTAAGAAAAACAAAAAATCTTTTCTAATTTTTCTTGTTTATGATAACGAACTTTACATTGTTTATCAATGTAAAATATTTCTTTTTTATATTAAGATTATAGATACAAGTGCTTATCTTATTTTCATAATTCAATATGTCAACACGTTCTTCTATTATTGATGACAAATCAATTTCTGAAATGATCTTGACAAATATAACATTAGCATCTCAGATGAACATTGAAATGTGCGATTTTTTGAACCCACAGCAAATACGATTATTCAAAACTTACAAGGATATGTATAACTATGAACCATGCTTATTTTTCTTTTTATCTTTAAGCATGATGTCTCACTTCTCAAAGGGTTCCTATTATATCCATTATACTTCTTCTGATCCACTTTCTGTAAAATTATATTTGTGATTACTGGGACCTAGCGGTATGTTCAAATAATACGCGAAAGAAAATTTATTAGGAAATATAGAATTTAATTTATTAGAGATTGCTTAGTACACTGCTATTTTTTATTCGTAGAGAAAAGTGTAGAAGTTTAAATAAATATGTTACATACTTCGTAGTGTAAGATATAGAAATAGATCACGACTCGAGTGAGAAAAATAAAACATAAATGAATAACATATAGATATGTCGTTATCAGTTTAACATTCGTTATTATACAAGACAAGAGATATTTATAAACGATTGTTTTTTACATAAAAATCTTTTTAATATAAAAATGGACCATGCGAGTTTATCATAATATTTTTGTAGACATTGACTATTCGTAGAAGTATTAAAGATATTTACCAAGTGTGTTATATTACAAATAATAGCAATATATAAGCGGTAGATGAGTTTCGAATACAATTGAGATTTATATGATATAATCGATCAGAAAATTTTTATAGAAATTACGCATTGTTTTGGTACTTAAACGAATGTTTTTGCTTCAAAAAAAAATACTTTCTATTTTTCAAAAACAGATTAATTGAGTATTGATTCATGTGTCAGACATGGAAATATTGATTCAAAGATAATTTCTCTTACTCTTCCAAAATATGATTATCAATGTGTTGATACTCAGTTGTTTTCTCTTTAAATTGAATTGCGTAATATCTCTAAAAAATATCTCGTATCAGGTTGATTCATATTTATGAGTATGATATTTTGAAATGAACTACTGTCCACCAAAATGTTTTTTCCATTACATGTTGTTTTTGGTTTTTTCTCTTACTGTTTTATTTTGAAGGAAGTGGTAAAACTAATGCGTTTAAACAAGCGGATAAAGCAATTACTAAAACAGAAAAGCTTTTTTCATTTACGTATTTAAAACCAATTTTTTTAAATGGTGAATCAACGGGGTCAGCTGTATCATCAATCGTGACACATGCCAATCATATTGAAGGGTGTGGATGTGGATGTGGGTGAGGGTATTGTATATTGATATTGTATCCACCACCACACCTATACCTACCCCACCCCCACTCACCCTCAAGATGCACAAAATAAATAATCTAACAATTGAACATTTATAGATTTTTAAAAGATTAACAATGCTCCAATATACTCAAATTTAGACTTGACAGAATCTTGCAATACATTTCAGTAATTGCTTTTGTATCTGATAAAGTGCTTGAATAGTTATTTAACTATTTCGGGTAATTAATAAACAGATTGACCTGTCGAATGATAAGTCTAGTCTGCTTTTTCTCAATTCTTGTTTATTCAGCAATTGATTGAAATTTTCTTTGTAAAATCGAGTCATTCTATGCAAAAAATATATATATAATATAAAATGCACTGAGGATATTTTGCCAACGCGTTTTGTGTTATTTATTGATCAAAATCTTATAACACTCATCAGGGCAGTGTAGGGTGTGGGTGTGGATGAGGGTGAGGGTGAGGGTGAGGGTGAGGGTGTGGGTGTGGGTGTGGGTGAAGGTGTGGGTGTGTTATGGAATGAGTATATACTCACACCTACATTGTGTCCTAGAATACTGGACTTAGTAGCCTATGTATAAGTTAACTGGGGTGTCAAAAGGTACGCTGTCGGTGAAACAATTAGTCGATGAAACAATCGGTCGGTGAAGTCGTATCGGTGAAGTGATTGTCGGAGAAATGACCCGGACCCATGTATGACTTTATACGATAATAACAATTAGTTTCATCAGATGTAATGTTTTTTAATAAACTAACGACAGGTTCATGATGTTGATTAATCGATTCAGTATTATTTTGTTGATGAAGTATTAATATTTGATAAACAAAAATTATCATCAAGATTAGGCAAACTATTTCCGCCATAAACAATACTGAAAAATGCAATTTAATAGATTCTTTATTTCGAAGATATACAGCAGCTATTGGTTTTAAGGGTGTACCGGGTTTGTGTGCTTTCGGTAAATAACACAAATGAGCCAGTTCAAATTTATCAGGTTTTACACATAATTTTTCATATTATTTTTGGTTTATACGATGTAATAATCTCATGTTCACCAAATATTTATTGGTACGTTCGACAAGATCGGGTAATGGATCATTGGTTCCTAAACATTTAAACGCTCCAGTTTTATCCATATATTGTTCAGATCTTAATTGATAATCTCGCATCTTCCCAAGGTGAAAAACTTTAGACTTGTCGGTTTTTTGTAAAATAATATTTGATAAATGGAATTTATATTTTAATCTTTTTACCAAACGATAATAATTTTTCTTCTTTTTATTAAATGTAGTGAATTCTGAAATACGATTTCTAATTGGATTACCATGCAAATTTTGAAGTAATATATCAAGTTCATTAATAAATTGGTCTACAGTCAGACCTGGAGCAGCTTTTTGTTGTAAAAAACGAGT